TACGACAAATTAGATACTCAATATCTCACGAATAGAATGACCTATTAATAAGTCCTCGGTAGGTCAAATGTAAAAATGTACCCTGAAACATCTCACTAAATGACAAATGACATGCTGCCACCAGCGTTACGTACGACTGGTCCGAAAATTGACATTTCCTCCAGAGCACAAACTGCATCATAGATTTAAGACGAATTAGATATAAAATATATCACGAACGGGAACATCATTCATTAAATCCATTCAAGAGCATACTCCAAAATATATACTTAAACGTCTCACAAAATTGCAAAGGACTGGCATGTACCAGTTTGACGTACGACTGGTCGGAAAATTGACATTTCGTCAAGAGCGCAAATTGCATAAGCGATTTAAGACGAATTGGATATTATATACCCCCCTAACAGAGAAGTCATTCGATACATCCCTCCTTTGGCAATCGTAAAAATATATACATAAACGTCTCACAATATATCAAACTAGTCGCTGCTACCAGTGCGATGTACAGCTGGTCCGAAAGTTGACATTCCGTAAATGGCCCAAAGTAAATCAGACTTGTACGACAATTTAGATACTCAATTTCTCACGAATAGAATGACCTATCAACAAGTCATCGGTAGGGCAAATGTAAAAATGTATCCTGAAACATCTCACTAAATAACAAATATCATGCTGCCACCAGCGTTACGTACGACTGGTCCGAAAATTGACATTTCCTCAAGAGCACAAACTGCATCATAGATTTAAGATGAATTAGATATAAGATATATCACGAACGGGAACATCATTCATAAAATCCATTCAAGAGCATACTCCAAAATATATACTTAAACGTCTCACAAAATTGCAAAGGACTGGCATGTACCAGTGTGACGTACGACTGGTCGGAAAATTGACATTTCGTGAAGAGCGCAAATTGCATAAGCGATTTAAGACGAATTGGATATTATATATCCCCCTAACAGAGAAGTCAATCGATACATCCCTCCTTTGGCAATCGTAAAAATGTATACATAAACGTCTCACAATATATCAAACTAGTCGCTGCTACCAGTGCGATGTACAGCTGGTCCGAAAATTGACATTCCGTACATGGCCCAAAGTAAATCAGACTTGTACGACAAATTAGATACTCAATATCTCACGAATAGAATGACCTATTAATAATTTCCGGTAGGGCAAATGTAAAAATGTACCCTGAAACATCTCACTAAATAACAAATGACATGCTGCCACCAGCGTTACGTACGACTGGTCCGAAAATTGACATTTCCTCCAGAGCACAAACTGCATCATAGATTTAAGACGAATTAGATATAAAATATATCACGAACGGGAACATCATTCATTAAATCCATTCAGGAGCATACTCCAAAATATATACTTAAACGTCTCACAAAATTGCAAAGGACTGGCATGTACCAGTGTGACGTACGACTGGTCGGAAAATTGACATTTCGTGAAGAGCGCAAATTGCATAAGCGTCAAGACGAATTGGATATTATATATCCCCCTAACAGAGAAGTCAATCGATACATCCCTCCTTTGGCAATCGTAAAAATATATACATAAACGTCTCACAATATATCAAACTAGTCGCTGCTACCAGTGCGATGTACAGCTGGTCCGAAAATTGACATTCCGTACATGGCCCAAAGTAAATCAGACTTGTAAGACAAATTAGATACTCAATATCTCACGAATAGAATGACCTATTAATAAGTTCTCGGTAGGTCAAATGTAAAAATGTACCCTGAAACATCTCACTAAATAACAAATGACATGCTGCCACCAGCGTTACGTACGACTGGTCCGAAAATTGACATTTCCTCCAGAGCACAAACTGCATCATAGATTTAAGACGAATTAGATATAAAATATATCACGAACGGGAACATCATTCATTAAATCCATTCAAGAGCATACTCCAAAATATATACTTAAACGTCTCACAAAATTGCAAAGGACTGGCATGTACCAGTTTGACGTACGACTGGTCGGAAAATTGACATTTCGTCAAGAGCGCAAATTGCATAAGCGATTTAAGACGGATTGGATATTATATATCCCCCTAACAGAGAAGTCAATCGATACATCCCTCCTTTGGCAAACGTAAAAATATATACATAAACGTCTCACAATATATTAAACTAGTCGCTGCTACCAGTGCGATGTACAGCTGGTCCGAAAATTGACATTCCGTACATAGCCCAAAGTAAATCAGACTTGTACGACAAATTAGATACTCAATATCTCACGAATAGAATGACCAATCAACAAGTCCTCGGTAGGGCAAGTGTAAAAATGTATCCTGAAACATCTCACTAAATAACAAATATCATGCTGCCACCAGCGTTACGTACGACTGGTCCGAAAATTGACATTTCCTCCAGAGCACAAACTGCATCATAGATTTAAGACGAATTAGATATAAAATATATCACGAACGGGAACATCATTCATTAAATCCATTCAAGAGCATACTCCAAAATATATACTTAAACGTCTCACAAAATTGCAAAAGACTTGCATGTACCAGTGTAACGTACGACTGGTCGGAAAATTGACATTTCGTCAAGAGCGCAAATTGCATAAGCGATTTAAGACGAATTGGATATTATATATCCCCCTAACAGAGAAGTCAATCGATACATCCCTCCTTAAGCAATCGTAAAAATATATACATAAACGTCTCACAATATATCAAACTAGTCGCTGCTACCAGTGCGATGTACAGCTGGTCCGAAAATTGACATTCCGTAAATGGCCCAAAGTAAATCAGACTTGTACGACAAATTAGATACTCAATATCTCACGAATAGAATGACCTATCAACAAGTCATCGGTAGGGCAAATGTAAAACTGTATCCTGAAACATCTCACTAAATAACAAATATCATGCTGCCACCAGCGTTACGTACGACTGGTCCGAAAATTGACATTTCCTCAAGAGCACAAACTGCATCATAGATTTAAGACGAATTAGATATAAGATATATAACGAACGGGAACATCATTCATTAAATCCATTCAAGAGCATACTCCAAAATATATACTTAAACGTCTCACAAAATTGCAAAGGACTGACATGTACCAGTGTGACGTACGACTGGTCGGAAAATTGATATTTCGTGAAGAGCGCAAATTGCATAAGCGATTTAAGACGAATTGGATATTATGTATCCCCCTAACAGAGAAGTCAATCGATACATCCCTCCTTTGGCAATCGTAAAAATATATACATAAACGTCTCACAATATATCAAACTAGTCGCTGCTACCAGTGCGATGTACAGCTGGTCCGAAAATTGACATTCCGTACATGGCCCAAAGTAAATCAGACTTGTACGACAAATTAGATACTCAATATCTCACGAATAGAATGACCTATTAATAAGTCCTCGGTAGGTCAAATGTAAAAATGTACCCTGAAACATCTCACTAAATAACAAATGACATGCTGCCACCAGCGTAACGTACGACTGGTCCGAAAATTGACATTTCCTCCAGAGCACAAACTGCATCATAGATTTAAGACGAATTAGATATAAAATATATCACGAACGGGAACATCATTCATTAAATCCATTCAAGAGCATACTCCAAAATATATACTTAAACGTCTCACAAAATTGCAAAAGACTTGCATGTACCAGTGTAACGTACGACTGGTCGGAAAATTGACATTTCGTCAAGAGCGCAAATTGCATAAGCGATTTAAGACGAATTGGATATTATATATCCCCCTAACAGAGAAGTCAATCGATACATCCCTCCTTTGGCAATCGTAAAAATATATACATAAACGTCTCACAATATATCAAACTAGTCGCTGCTACCAGTGCGATGTACAGCTGGTCCGAAAATTGACATTCCGTAAATGGCCCAAAGTAAATCAGACTTGTACGACAAATTAGATACTCAATATCTCACGAATAGAATGACCTATTAATAAGTCCTCGGTAGGGCAAGTGCAAAAATGTACCCTGAAACATCTCACTAAATAACAAATGACATGCTGCCACCAGCGTTACGTACGACTGGTCCGAAAATTGACATTTCCTCCAGAGCACAAACTGCATCATAGATTGAAGACGAAAGTAGTAATAGTCCGAGTAAATGATAATGCAATTTTAGGCACCAAATCAGGCACGAACTTTGACCCCAGACGATTACCGAACGTTACGCCTACGTACGCCTACGCCTTACCAAGGGGCCGCATGGAGACTGGAGACTGGAACCTATTACCGAACGTTACGCCTACGTACGCCTACGCCTTACCAAGGGGCCGCATGGAGACTGGAGACTGGAACCTACAGTTTAGTGACGTCAGAGTCAACCTCCATGGATGACTGTAATCTGATTGGTTGGATCACTTCCGGAGTGACGTTAGTGTAACATAACCATTTCTAGGAAGAAACGCCCTGATTGGTCAAATACAAATGATTCAGATAAATAAAAGTATAAAACCCTACATTCGTAAAATTAATTTAGTTGCTCAACAATAATGGAAAATCAATTTACCTGGAATACGCTTTTAGATACTGAAAGTATAGATAAACCAAGGGATAATTATATTCCGAATAACAATGAAGTGGATGGGTGTTTATTTAAATTTAAAACAAAGACGCCTTTAGGAAGTGGGGAGATTCACGCAGAAAAACACCCAGACAATTACTTCTCAGATAATTTTAAAGACGAACTGATTTTTAAACTTGATAAAATGGATAAAAAACTAAATGAAATTCTACAATCAATTAACAGCATACCTAAGGCTGTCACAACACTGGGAACACCATCCACCCAAGACGATTCTACAACGTTGAGAGTGACGCCATAGTTAACTTTTGTGGATAGGATGCTATGATTGGTCGAATGCATGCTGACGTCAGAGTTAATTTTTGTGGATGGGATGCTCTGATTGGACGGTATATATTACATTTGATATAAATTGAAGGGAGTCTGGAAGCTAAGCATTCGTCATTCTGAATACTCATCGAGATGTCTAGCCAAATTCAATCTATTCAGCTTGTGGAAGGGATAAAATTTATCCTTTTTGAAAATGAATATGGAGTATGTGGCGATCTGAATCGGCAACGATGGAGCCCTAAGAACCTTGAAACATTTGAAGTACATTTCTTTGTGTACAAATCACTATGGCGTTCTTTAAAAGAGGAAGAGAATGAAATCGCTGCAGCTATTACTGCCGAAATATGGAACTATCAAAAAACTTTGGCGAAAAATACTCTTTTGAAAATACTAAAACAAAACGACGACATCATCATTCAAATCATAAAATTTGATGAGAAAGAAAAGTGCTACGACTATTTGAGTTCATTGAAACTGCCTTTAGAAGCTTGGAACAAATTAATGTCATCAAAAAATGAAATCGATGTTCACCTCTCCATGAAACGTAGATCTGAAGATGTTCCCACGACAACCTTGTATCGTATCAAGTACACTGATGATAATATCCAAACTAAATATGGAATTTGGAATACCTCCATAGGAACTGTCCAGTCTCAAATGGAAGAAAAGAAATTGGTAACTGCCCACGTTGACATCCAGAAGGAAAGCTTTCAGACACCTTCCATAAACGATTTGATACTGCATTCGTGTTTGTATCTTTTGAAAGTTGAAATCGAAAAACAAGGATTGCATTCCTGTACTGTGTCAGTAGAATTATTTGAAAAGGTTATCGTCAACATCAAGAGACAGAATATTTCACGCACAACCATGGTATTAGCAGCTGTTTTGAAATGTGCTGATATTTGTGATGTCGGTTGCACTTCAAAAATGTTCTTTAACCTTATGAACATGGACTTGAAAAGTATGGTCTATCCAGTGTCTAACACACAACGTGTGATCAACGATATCTTGGAAGTGACATTTGGTAATCAATAAATTTAAAGTCGCATAAAAATGCCTACATTTTTAAATGTCAGTCAATTCCTGACTACTGCAAATTGACTTTTTGTATAGATTTATAACAAGTAATAAATGAAAGATCACAAATATAATACACTTACTTTGTTTATTTATTGATTTTCGCATAATTATTGCATCATTTTCGGTTTAGGCATGCCCAGACATGGCTGATGATCATTCACATAACCAGGCGCCAAAAGTCTAAAATATGCTCATCTACGTTTGCAGGTTTAGTGTTTCGATTGGTTGTTTTCTTACACCAGGCATAGAATATTCACTTAAAGATAAGTATATAAAGAAATTAGGATTTGTTTTCTATAAAACGCAAGACACACACACACACAGACATATTTGCTCTGCCAGCTTAGATAAACGTAGAGACAATTTCATTCTGCCAATATGGGTGACGATAGAATGTCTTGCGACTTGACACAAACAATGATCCTTATTGAGATGCTTCTCTCAAAGACATTTTCGAACCCTGAAATTCAATGGAGAGGAACAACCTTTAACCGTGATCATTTCAGTTCAGATAACGAGGCAGAAGAACAAACAGTGGATGGTGAATTAAAAATCACAGCTAATTTTAACAAGTCGCTGATATTCTTGGACTTTATGAAAACAATGTTGAAAATTCTCAATGTCATATCGGAAACCATAATAAGGAACTGTATTCGCTGTGTTCTAGGGAAATCAAATATTGAACGATGCAAAGTATCATTTATTCATGAAAGCGAAGATAACACCAGCACCGATGCTAAAGTTGATGATCCTAAAAAGTACAGACTTTGGAAGGTTGCGAAGTACATCGATGATAATGGAATTGCTACAAAAATGACTTTTTCGCTTAAATATTGTGGACTTTTTAAACCAATCTTTGATCAGTCAGAACTGAAACAAAGGTATACGAATCAGATTGAAATCATTAAATCGATTATCCCCGAAGCTGAATTCGTTGTTCTAGGAGATGACCCATTCTCATCAGAGAGGTGGGTTTTCGATACTTATGACGAGGGACTAGATTTGACACTTGCTGCTGATTTAATCAAAGCATGTTTTTAATGCAATATCGATGTTGAATAGTTTTAGGAACATGAACTCAGTACTTTCTGAGAAGGAAAGAGAAGAGTAAAATATAGATCATTATAAACAATCGTATGAGAGTCACGTGATGGTAAATTTACAATAAAAACGATGTTATAATACATCTAAGTCATTCTAGCACACTAAGTCCGAGTATGAATAGATATTGCATGCAACGAATCAAAGAAAGTAACATCATCACTGTTGATACAGCAGAAGCTTTTGAAAATATTGTCAAGAAAATTCTCGTTCTGGGACATACCAATCACGGGAGGATAAACTGTCTCATACTGTATAAGAACTTAATCATCGCCAAGAATAGTCATTTAGAAAAACAAGTGAACTCAATTTTTTCAGATGCAATCGGGAAATTACCATGGTATCAGAGATTCTATTATATTTGAGTAGTAAGGACTCCACGAATATTTATCCTACAAACAGACCTGGTGATTTCATAGTTAAGCTACCAAGTTATTTGAGGTTGGAAGGAAAATGGAAAATAGGACTTATTGATATCATGGTACCACCTCATTCTGGTATCGATTATATAAACATATTTTGTGATATAGTGAGTGAAAGTATTTGTGAAGGAAACAAGTTGCCTATATTAAGACGGATACCTAAACATCTTACTTATAACATAGGCCTACCAACATTATATGTTGCATTAAATAGTCAGGAATTTGATCGCATCAGAATCTATATAAAAGACAGACTTGGTAATACTGTTTCATTCGAAGATAAGACTTTATTCTGTACATTACATTTGAAAAAAGTGGAACATGAAAGTTGTACCATACGTGGACAATGCCGAGAAATGGCGTAAAATCATAAGGGCTGGAAGAGAGAATAGAATCTCTACTCAAGTAGGTTTCGGGAAACATAGAGCGAGATATATTCCCACCAGTGCCATTAAGGAACCTATTCAAGTGATATCTCCAATGCAGGCTGTCGTAGATAGAGCTAAGGCACAAATAAAACAACAGAACGAGGAGTCACGTGCTGAGAAATCGTATAAATTGAAGCAAAACCCTTCATCATCTTCAGTCACGCAGTCAATTCCAAAGAAGAAAGTGACAAAAAGAAATCTTAAGATGAATCTACAATATGCCAAATTGAGGATGCTTGCCTTCTACTACGACTTTTTAGATGTGTATGTCAACCGGGCTGATTTCCAACTGATTGAAATGGACACGGACAGGTGAGAATAAAATATTGAAAATGAAACATAATAAAAAGGAATTATAAGTATTGGTTAAATGAGATACTAATGTCTAAGCTTTTTATGTTTCAGTTGTTATTTTGGTTTATCTGAGACGAAGTTGGAAGATGCGGTGAAACCAAACAAAATGGCTGAATTCCACAAAGTGAAGGACAATTGGCTACCTAGGACAGATACCCCAGAGCACAAGGCCTATGACAAAAGAAAGCCTGGTCTATTCAAACTTGAATTTGAGGTAAACATTTGAAAAAATTATCTGATTATGTAAAAAAAAAAAAAAAAAAAAATAAATAAAAAAAAATAAATAAAAAATAAAATAAAAATAAAAAAAATAAATAAAAAAAGTAATTGCAAAATTATATTTTTCAGGGAACTGAAATGGCTGCCTTGTGTTCAAAGACATACTGTGTATACGATGAAACCAAGGAATCCTCTAAGTTCAGCTGTAAGGGTATCAACAAAAGCAATTACAACAATCCCATGGATACATATACACGAGTACTGAACACTGGTGAACAAGAATCCGGTCAAAACATTGGTTTTAGACGTTTGAACAATTCAGTATTTACCTACACCCAGGAGAGAATAGGGTTCTCCTATTTTTACGCCAAGCGTAAAGTATTGAACGATGGTGTGAGTACTGAACCATTAGATCTCACATTAAGACCACCACAATAGCACTTGTATATGGACTTAGATATGGATTATGGTATTCATGTTTGAATGGAGTTGAGTATTAATTATTTTTAAAAATAGGACTTTTAAATCATATTATTTGAAGCTTGAAACAATAAGAGCATTTTTCAATTCCCGCAGACATTGTAAACTTCAGACGAATGTGAAATGTGTAATTGTTTACCTTACGCCACAATAATTAATAATAATGATTAAGAGTCACTTTTTAAGTCGAAGAAAAGACTTGAATTTTAATTATTTCAACAAGTAGGATGTTCAAATTATTCTTTTTAAATGTGCTTGACTTGTAAATTCTAAATGAAATCACTCTAGAACTGACCAGACCAAAGTCAATGTTAAATGAATGTAAAAATGCATTATGTTATGTCTTCAATTTTCTAATGAACAACAACTAAAGTCTTGTAATTCATATTTCATTTATTCTACACTTTCAAATTATATTTAAATACAGCTGTCAGTCACATAATTTTTACAGATTATGATAATAAATGTAACATATTTATAATGTTTAACATGTTTAGTTTTTTCTGTTAGTCATTTATTTATACAGATTATGATAATAAATGTAACCCATTTAAAATGTACAAGAATTTTAGTTTTCTTTCATGATTTTTGGAAGAAACAGTTTAAGTAAAAGAAGAACTCCACGTGACTTTTTTAAAACTCTACCCCTTTTCTTGACCCAACCTTGATATTTATCTGAGAGAAATTCAAAAGTCGGTTTGTAGGATGACAGTTTTTGTTTTTCTTGTTCTGTCATAGGTATGTTTTCCAGACCAATGTTCAGAATGATTTCACATATAATTTTCAACTGTCCTAATGACATAGTTTTTAATAATGCCTTTCTCTGCTGCTTTGTAGTTTGTGATTGGGTGAGTAATGTCAGGTAGGCACTATGTATTTTCAAATCCGGATTCATGGTAAATTAACCCAGTGCTTTGATGTAGTCGTCTTCTTCCTTTTCAATGTGGGATAAGCAGAGATTCCAGGTGGCAGAAATCGTCTTATCTGTTTTTCAGCTCGATTGCTAGTTGGTACATCCAGTGATGACTTCGAAGATTGTTCACTACTTTTGGATCGAGATAATTGTTTCAATCGATCAATTTCCGTTTTCAAGGCCTTAATTTCTTCAGAAACAGTTTGATCGTTGGCAACTGTTGTATCTGCTTCAGCTTCTAAAGTGCTTTTATTTTGTTTAGATTCTCCTAAAAGCCTCATATATTTTTCATAGGGGATCATCACAGTTCGACGACTCATGTTTAAATGATATTTGTTCTCATCCTTCCTTATTTATAAACCACCATAGATAATAGGATCTTGACCTGGAAATATTTTAGTTCTCAGTCTAGTATCATCTCTACTATGCGGTGATAAGTCGATTATTAAATAACCATACGGCAGAGATACAGCGTCAGCATATGCTTCCATCAAGACATTGGTCTTCCCTGGTGAGATCTGCTTGGCTAAATGCATAATTTGAGATTTATCCCTCAACGAACGAAACAGAATAATATACTGTGTGTTTAGGATCATTGTCCGAATACCTTTCAGAAAAAGTTGTTGCGTAATAAATATGGCACTTAAACATTTATGGTGGGTTCCTTGAGTAAACAAAAGCTCCATTTCTGGTTCTTTGACGACAGAATTCATTAGATCATCCAAAATGATGAGGTTATGTTTTCTACCTTCCGATAGTGTATCTATGATAGTTTTGCTTGGTAAACCTTCGTGAAAGGTTACATTATCGAATTCCCTTTCTACTTTTTCGAATAAAGGTTGGTGAATGCCGTAACAATACAACACTTTCTCAGGCGTTGGTTTCTCGAACATGCCAGGTAAGCCTTTCAAAAGTTCATACACAAATGTAGTTTTCCCACTCCCAGTCGCTCCAGAAATGATAAAACTGCTGCATGTTTTAAAAGGAATCAGACTCTCCTTGTCGTACCATGCCATTACTTCAAATGATATTTGAAATTAAACGTATCGGTTTTATAGTTGTTTGACATCCTTAGTATCGATCCATGTGTCAAATTTTGGAGGCCAACCTTCCCATCTGATTAGAGATTCCTTACCACGTTTTCGCGTCTTCAACACACGCTCGATTCTATGTACCTTTGGGGCCTTGGAGATTTTTTGCATTTCGTCTTCATACACTAGTCCTTCGATGATCTCCCCTTCGAGATCTTCGATGAC